ACATGACTCCCCAGAGGGAAAAGCAGATTGGACCTCTCCAGAGACTTGGATGACTTTCCAGGTCATCTGGGAGCATCTGCTGAGCATTCGTGTGCCAGGCATGGCACCTCATGGTTATGGTCATCTAATTGAATTCCAGAAGCATGGCGACCTTCTAAGTGGGGCTACTGTCTCCTTTTCACAGATGCTGCTGGGCTGACTTGCCCAGGGTCACAGAGCTGAGTGTTAGAATCAGATTCACAACTAGGGGAGCCTGACTCCAGACCCCATCTTCTCAACAGCTCTGCTCTGTTACTCAATGATAGGACACTGGAATCATCCCTGGGTCTGTAGAGGATGGATAGAAACAAAAGAATGGGGTATAGAGCACTCAAGACAGCAGGAATTTAAGAAGAGTCAAGGGTAATGATAGGTTGGAGTCATGTTGTAAAACATCTTGTTAGTCTGGGGAGATTGTGCTTAAGTTGGTGAATAATAGGACCTTTGAATATCAAACCTTTTCCTTCTGGAGTATGAAAACATACTAGATCTGTTTACAACCCAAGAAAAATCAACATCTTAGAGTTGTGCTGGGGAAGAGTACTAACTATCCCATAGACTCCCCAAAAAGAATAAATGTGTCTTGGAGAAAGTGCAACCAGGGTGCTCCTTTAGAAGCTAGGATGGTGAAACTCCATCTTCCATTCTTTGGGCATGTGTGTGGTTAGAGGATCCAGTCCTTGGAAAAAGACATCATGATGGGAAAGGCAGAGGTCAGCAAAGGAGGGGAAGACCTCCAATGAGATGCCTTCTTGACACAGAGACTGTAACAGTCGACTCAAATAAATAGATCAGAGATTATGAGGATGGTACAGGATAGGGCAGGGCTCGGATCCATTGTTCATAGGGTCACAGTCAACTCAACAGTATGTAACAACATCAACAACACAACCCAAGATTCTAAGGACTTGGCATAGAGACAAAGACTGTACTGTACTGTGATCATACTGAAATAATGTATATCAATAACATAAACTGAAAATCAGCCATAAGTCATTTTACTTTAAAAACCTTGTATATAAGACCAAATAATCAACAATTACTTTCCAGAAAGATGACACTATTAGGGAGTAGGGAAACTAGATTAAAGGATATGGCACAAAACAGAATGGAAATAATGGACGTGAAGAATGCAGCCAACATCACAGAATGACTTGTGTTGAAATTGTTGAATAAGAACCTAGAATGCTTTGTAAATCTTTATCAAAATCATGATAAGAAAAATCTGGGTGGGGGAGGGAACCATAAGTCATTTTATTCACTTCTCTTACACAGGTTAAAGGAAAGATGTTACAAAAGGGCAGAAATAAATGATTACTGAGTATCAGCAGTAACCACCCATGGCTATCTAAAGCATATGTCTGGTAAGCCTTTCTTTTATTGCTTTTTAAAAGGCATTTCATACATTAATTCTTGCATGATTACACCATTACTTAAAGCGTTTTAAATGCAATGCTATGGATATTCCATGCCTTTTGCGGAAAACACAAATAGTTTATCTTAGTGGCATAGATATTCTATGCAGCTGCTTTTTCTCTTTATAAAACATGTAAGTGTGTTTTATATACTAGTGGTGCCGTCCTCCATTAATCACCCCACTGACTGGGATTCCATAGGATTTAATTCACCCTGATAATCAGCTCTGCTCACATCCGTTACATTCTTCACCTACTCCTTCGTTGCCCCCTTCTCCTTCTTCCGTCTCTTAAAGTCCATCTGATGAGCAATCTGACACCAGGATTTAAGCTTTGTGGCTCTCTGTGCCTAGTACAGTAGTATCTGAACATTCCTTTTCCTTGCATTTGTTCAATGTTCTAACATGAACTCCAACTCACTTCCATCTAGTCAGAACTGACTCATCACTGACCCTTCAGTGGATTTTCATGGTTGTAAATTGTGTGGGAGGAGATTGTCCATCTTTCTCTCCTGCAGTCACTGTTGGATTTGAACCACCAGAGTGGTGTGGCCTTTGGGCTGGTGGCACAGATCCCTACTGGCCATGCCATCCAAGCTCCCAGTTCTAATGTTAGAAAGCAAGAAATGACAACATTCTATTTAGTCTAGCATTCAAACACAGAGGCATCGAATGAGATTTTAAAAAAACTTCAAAGAATGTAAGGATGAAAAGAACCAGTTACAAGGAATGACATTATGACCCTCTCTTATCACAATGCGCCCCTCCCAGGAAGGAGCAATAGCTTCAGACTTGTTCTTTGGCCCTCGGTCAACACTATTCACTGAGCATCCTTGGGTCATGTGGCAGGTACAGAGATAAACGAGATGGAGCCCTGCTTTCAGCAGCTCACAGTTTAACATGGGAGAAATTACATAGATTAAAAAATGTATTAAAAAAAAAAACAAAAAAAAACCTTACAGATGAGTTAAGATATAGTAAATGACCTAATACTGCTAGAGAATTCAGAGCTATAATTTCCTTCCTGACTGAGAAAATAAGTCATTTGAAGTGGGCATTGGCAGTTGGATTAAAAAAAAAAACCCTGTAAAATGTATGTGCCCCTGGGTGTAGGGGTGCAAAGGTGAACGAGGGAGGCAATTAGAAACAGAAATAACAAACTGGACAAAGGCACGGACGGTGCTTCAAGGGACTAAGAAGCATTTAGCGGAGAGTCAACCTTGGCCGAAGCAAAGAGAATGACTGGAGAGAAAGCCAGAAAGAAGGGGTGTGGGAACATGGTTGAGAACATGGAATGTCAGAGCAGAGACTGGACTTTATTTTTGTTAGGTTTTTGAACTGGCCAAGGATTCAAAGAAAGGACCAGAGAAAGAAAGCTAAAGACATTTTATTAAGGGGGCTCCTGGGAGGGATTCCTTGGTCTGCAGAGAGACATACAAGGGAAATACCATGCTTTAAGGTTGATTAGGCAGGGTTTTTATAGTAAGGGGCTTTAGGGACGGAAAGAAGGGACATTCCATTGTGGTTTAGCCAGGTAGGTGGCCTTCTAGGGAGGGAAAGGAGGGGCACTCCATGGTAGTTGAGGTTGACCCCTGTTACATGCCCAACCTCCAAAATCAGAAGAAAGAACAGGCATTAGTGCCTGGTTCTCCACCCCAGTGCCATCTCCTACGCTCTTGGACTCTCCGGGCACACACCCTTCTCAAAGGCTGTGATGATCATCATCTCTGGACAATGAAAGCAGAATATTGAGTTCTCATTGTCCCTGATTCTCTAAATGACATTTAAGATCCCTCTGTAGTTTTTATGTTCATCTTGTGTTTTCCATCATACGTGGTTTTTCTGTTTCCTTAACTGGATGCTCGCTGTGTGACTGGACATGAGAATTTCTGTAGGAGAGGCTGGAGAGGCAATTTAATCGCAAGGAGACTGGGAGGGATGAATAAATTTTTCTTGAAACATTCTATAAAATTTCTATAATCCCTCATATAATTAGAATGATCTAAAAAATTGACATAATATCATGTGATTGATAAAAATTTCTCTTTAGCTCATCTAAAAACACTAATAAAACATACACTTAGCCCATATGAAAACAAGAATCCACTGGATTTTGTACAAGAGAGAACCTGGGATTTATTTAGCCTTGCTAACCACCCATCAGTTGCAGACATGCCCAGTTTTACTGGATTTTTACTTTATTGCTTTCCACAGATTTTGTGCTTTGTTTGTTGTACAAATTGAAGGTTTATAGTAACTCGACATTGAGCAAGACTGGCCTGCAGTATTTTCCCAGTTGCATATGTTTGCTTGTTCTCTGTGTCACGTTTTGATAACTCTCATAATATTTCAAATCTATTCATAACATTATTTGCACTCTTGCTAGATTCTAGTTCTATAAAAACATAGTTTGTAGATGGTCAGTGAAATGAAAAGAAAGAAAGAAAGAAATCCATGTGGCCTGCTTTATTGTGATGACCACCTAATTGCACTGGCCTAGAACTGAACCCACAGGCCTCTAAGACCTGTAATCCATAAAAAGGCAGGGTAGCCTGATGGTTAAGTGTAAGTTCTGAAGTCAAACCAGGACAGTCTGAATTCTGACTCCGCAATTTACCAGTTACTTAATCTCCTGTGTGATTCTTTGACTTCCATGCCATGGGCTTGTGGTAACATTTGCAAAGCGTTTAATGCCTCATCAGTTGCAAACATACTCAGTAAACACTTGTTGTGGTGTGGTGTGTACTGTAGATTTAGAACCGACCTAGGACTTAGAGGCAGCTAATTGCACGGGAGGAAATTGTCCATCTTTTTCCTGCGGAGCAGCTGGAGGACTCGAACCACGTGCCTTTGGGGATTGCAGCACAGCTTCTTGCCACTAGGCCACCAGAGCTCCCTCACAGTAAACACCACTTACTGTTATTATTCTAGAAAGTACCATCAGCCTGAGGCTTTTAACACATGTCTTCCAGATTTTTTTTTCTTTTTTATTTCCTTTTTATTTTTAGCTCTTGTTTGGGTTGTCCTTGGAGGAGCTGACCACTGAGTGTTAGAAGGAAACCCATGCCTTTCACCTTCTTGGTACCTTGTCTAACTTCAATAATGAAAAGGAATCTTGGTGAAGAAGGCAAATGATTCACAATCAATATGCACAACTGAAATACGAAACAAAGCACTTCAGGTGCCAATTATTCTCTTAATCCTCAGAAACCAGGTTTGTAAAATAACAGAGAAGCGACAGAGTCGAGAAGGAAAGAGCTGACAAAAGAGAACTGAATCTACAAATATTTTAAATGTATTTAAAAAGTGTGTACCTTCTCATCAAAATTGTATGAAGAGAAAATGAGATATGCAGAAGCAATTCCGATTTTACCTCGGATACAATTATGTAATTCCACGGTATATTTGCACCATCAGGTGTTCTCCTACAATCAACTCTACCAGCACAACTACAAGAGGCAAGGAGAAGGGGTCCCCGGGGAGCTGAAGTGGGGGCGTAAGGCTTCAGCAAGGAGCGCCAGTGGAGCGTTTTTCTGCTGCTCTGTGTTCAAAGGATCTTATTTGCATAGAAGAATTGCAGGAGCTCTGGGTGGTAGTGACTCTGAAAGAAAGGACAAAAAAAATCCACATGAGAGAAGGGCTTTATAAAACCTCTATCAGAAGAAGGACATTATACTTTATACATTATACTTGGAAAAGTAGAGGGTCAGCAAAAAAGAGGAAGGCCTTCAACAGAATCGACTAATGCAGTGACCATCACAGCGGGCTGGATCACAGCAGGGTGTGGGGTGACTCAGGACTGGTAGAGTTCTGCTGTGCACACAGTCACTTATGAATTGAAGTCAATTCAGTGGCCCCCTAACGACAACATATAACTTGTAGTAGACTGTGGTCAGATGAAAAGCACGATGATAAACAATCAACCTCACCTTTAGTTTTCATGGCGAAGTGTCACCAAATCAGCTACAACTCATAGCAACGCTATTTACGATAGATCTGAGTCTTGCCCTGTTGTTGTTAGGTGCCATGGAGTGGAGCACGACCCATAGTGATCCTATAAACAACAGATCCAAACCCTGGCCTATCCCGTGCCATTCTCACACTTCCTGACACAGCAGAGCCCATTGCAGCAGTCACCACATCAAACCACCGGGATGAGGGTGGACCTTGTCCTATCCTGTGCCTCATCTTCAGATACTGAAAAATGGTGACTTCAGGGCTGTTCTCATTTAATATTTCAAGCTGGAACTGCCAACAGCCCTCCATTTACAACTTAGGGGTCAATTAAAGCTGGAATAGAATTAGTCTGAAGAGTTTTACAGGACTGACTCCCTGGCGTTCTTGGCCACGTAGATGCGCATAAATCACCCAGGAGGACAATGATGCTAAGAGAATTCCCTCCTTCTCTTGCCCACTCACCAGCTGCCGGCAGAGCTTTGGATTTCTTTGTTCCTCTTCGCTCTGGAAGATGTACTCCTTCCTTGGTTTCATGTAGAGGGAGCAGGCGCGGAAAGTTGTTTTGCAAGCCTGGGCAGAACAATGCTACCATATTACTATCAAAAACATTAGAAAATTCTGGGACCCCAAGTCAGGAGTCCTGGTGGCTCCATGGCTTGTTACTTGGCTGCTAATCAATAGGTCGGTGACCAGCTCCTTGAGAGAAACGACCTGGAGATCTTTATAAGATCTACTGTTGTAAAGATGACAGCCTGGAAGCCTGAGGGCCAGTCCTCCTCTGTCCTATATGATCGCTGGCTTAGAAGTGACTCTCGCAATAACAACAGCATCATCATCCTGAGAAGACTGTCTTAGCGGATTGAGGTCACCAGGGGTGTGACAGTGACTCCCAAGTCCTTTCAAGGAAATATGTCTCCCAAACGGGCACGTCTATAATTGGGAGGGTCATAGGGAGGACACAACTTAGTCATTTCACCCAGCCCTTGATGCAGATCATTACGGTGGTGGTGACGATGGTGGTGATGGTGAGGATGGGGGTGGTGGTGAGGATG